CGTGCAGGCTGTACATCGGTACAGGGCCTCCAAAATTTTGGGGCCTCAAAAAATAATCCCATTAGTAGAAGCCCTTAAGTATATAGGGTTAGTTTAGGCACATGCGATCGTCAAGCTCCTCTCCGCAGCCTTCGCAACGCTTCGTAGTTCGTAGTTCGTCTTCTCGTATCATGGCCGGCAGACGCCACTTAGATTAGACATTAGACGATTAGCACTTAGCAGTTTAGCACAAGCAAGGAAAGCAAACCGGCTGACGGGAGGCCCCTGCGATCTGCGCCTGCAGTGCGGGAGTCCAGGCTCCAGCAAGGTAATGTTAATTTTTTCTATTCCCTCTATGTATGAAAGGACATGAACTGCTAGTGTTTGTGTAATTTTAATTTTATTCTTTTCATTTTTTGAAGCATGTCTTCTTCAAATCGAATTAGAAAGTTTGATTCAGGTTCCCAAAAGCGTAAGAAAAAACAAAGAATTGAGGAGTTAATTCAATCCCAGAAAGGAGCCATGGATAGATTTATTACAAAAGAATCAGGCGTGCCTTCCGGTAATGCGGTACCGGTAGTTGATCAAGGTCCTGCACTTGATATTAATATTGAAAATGATCTTAGAGATGGTCAAACAGGACAGAAAATAATGTTGACGAACAAGAAGTTCACACAAATGTTGAAACAGATAATGATGGTGATGGTGATAACAATGAGGACATTGGTGATTCTTTTCAGCTTGATATATTTGATCCAAGATATTGGGATTCACTTAATCCTAAACAAATAGATATTTTTAGCACAAAAGGGCCCTAGAAGAGACTTATCAGTTTTGAAAGGTCCCAAGATAGGTATTCTAGGAGGTTTTCTGCACTATTCTATACTGGAATTCTACCAAATGGGGTCTGTTTAGTTGTTTTAGTTTTGTTTAGTTGTGTTTGTTGGTTAGTTTAATAGTGAGTTTTTATTCTAGCATTGCTAGTCGGGATTCTAGGCGATCTTCTGACCTATCCTCCCACCTTTTTACAAAATTTGTGTGTTGCATAAGGATTAAAGTTACTAAAATTAAAGTTTATTTATTAAAGTTCTTAACATTTAATGCACTTAGTAATTATATAGGAAGATAAATATTATGGGTTAAACGTTGGTCAATTATAAAGGAAGTGCAAATTATGAACTGTTGAAAGAATTATAAGACTATGATAAATGACAATTTTATAAGTACATACAAGTAATTTAAGTAATTTATATGCAAATACCATATAACCTTATACATTTATAACTAGTACGTATCCCGTGCGATACACGGGTAAGAGATATTCATTAATTTTTATAAATTTAAAATTCTTATTAAATAATATTTATATAGAATCATTATAATACAATTTATCTATAATATTCTTTTTAAAAAATGGATATATAAAATTTAAATTATGCACAATTACACAAAAATGTCTATTGAAAATTAGTACATAACTCGTGCAGTGCACATAACTAATAATAAATTACGTTATATTCGCTTAAAAATAAGTGTCATTTTAAAATTCTATTCAAAAATTCGATTTGACTATAATTTGTTTCCATAAAATCATTATTTTTGTAATATTTTATCATATATTTAAAAACTTTTGTGAATAGTAAGTATAAATATAAAACTTATATTTTTTCATTAATTAAATTAAATTTATTTTTGTATACACTATCTAAATAAAAAAATTTAAGTTGAGTAATTTATTAAACTATAAATAATTGAATATTTATTTACATCTACGTTAATATTGACCCGTAAGTTATGAATAATTCGTAATTTAATTTTTAATTTCAAATATTTTTTTTGCCCATATATTAAATACCACCAGATTTTGACCAAAATAATTTTGTACATTAATTAAAATAATTTTTTAGTTTGAATTTCAAATGATCGGCCACCACTTTTCAAAAATGTTTAAAAAAGTTACTAATAAATGTACAATTCAAACTTTTTTGCAGAATTTTAATCAGTATTTCAGATAAATACAAACTTTTATATACTTGTATTTATATAGATTATAAATTTGTAATAGTTTGATTTATATGTTAGTTCTAAAACATAGCATTTCAATTTAAAACTTAAAAAGTATACGCAAAAAAAAAAAAAAAAAAAAAAAAAAAAAAAAAAAAAAAAAAAAAAAAAAAAAAAAAAAAAAAAAAAAAAAAAAAATTGATTGTCTAATATTTGGCTTTGCATAAAGATTGGCTTACTGTTGTCAAATAATTGAATCCAAAGTCTATGGCCAATGTATAAATGAAATTCTAATTGGTTGACTTGCAGTACATCCAGTCCACGTTAAAATTAATTAATCGCCCATCATATATATGCAATAAAAATGATTTATATTATTATTATTTTTTACAGAAACGATTAACTATTTACTGATAGAACAAAACAAAATACAAAAGCATATCAAATCCACCCAATTTCAGTTTTACGAAACTTTAACTAAGATGGCTGCCCCAAACCAAACAGAACAAAAACCCAGCTAAAAAGAAGAAAAACCTAATAAACAACTCTTAAAAAAAAGACCAAATGCACAACTCCACACTGAAATGGAAAAACTAAACTGCAACAATAACACGGAAGAACAAAAGCTAAACCCCCACACTAAGAACAAAAACTAAACAAAAGCATGTACATCAGGAATTAAGAAAAACCACTGGAAACAATAGTTTCTCTAGTCCACAGCACATAACCAGAAGCAGAAACCCCCAACAAAAGCCAACCAGACCCTCATGGGAAAGTCACCTCGAGCAACCAACAAAACAACACGACCAAAGGAACACTTGAGCAAAACAAATTTTGAACCACCACTCCTATGAACAAAAGAAACAAAATTACAAAGGAGAGCCATAAAAAAATCACTCGAACTCTCAACCACTCTCTCGAAGCAATAAAAAAATATGGTTCGTATTTGTTTGTTTCTTGAGTCCATTAAGTTACATGTGCATTACACTTGCAACCACCTTGGAATAATCATCTATAGACACTTTAAATTTAGCATTATTTGATTGGAATCACGTTCTTAACCCCCACTTATTGCCTAGTAAGTGATTATATAGAACTTCGCAACTTCGCCCTTATCGGCTAAGGTCATAACCACAATTGCATCCCCTCATAATAGCTAAATTACCAGCGAAAAACACATTTACAAGCTAAGAAGCCCTTATCATTGACCAAGCAACTTATAACAATAATCAAGAATCGAAAAATAATCAAAACCAACCAGATATAATGTAACAAAACCTTGTCAAATAGCAAAGCCCAAAATCAAGAAATATTAGCATTTGTAACTTGTAAGGTGACCTGAAATGTAATAGAGGTCATGACAGATTCTCCAATTTCACCATGAACCATCGAGTCACCTTTTTCGAAACTCTTCAGCCAATTTATGCCTAAAACCATCATTATTTACATCATACACGAACAGTATCGGTTTTATCTTTTCACCATATCCTCAAGAACAACATAAACACGCACAAGACAAAGTAAAAAATGGGTAAAAATCAAGGTATATGAAGAGAAAGAACGAATTTTTACCCACTTCTTCTCCACCGCTACCACGACCACGTCGTCCCCGTCATCCAGCGGCAATGCCACCCCCATCTCCTCCACCATGAACACCATGTTCATTCTCTACTCCGCATAAATTGGCAACCCGATCATCGGCATCCCGCGCATCACAGCCTCCAGGATGGAGCTCCGGCCGCAGTGGGTCTCGAATCTGGCCACCGCGTGTTCCAGCACCACTCTATGTAGGGCCAACGACTTTATCACGAAAGTCTTCCCATTTGTCCTTTCCATAAACCCCTCGGACAGCAATTTGCAGATCAAACACATATATTATTTCTCACCCAAATAAAAAATGGAGGCAAGAATCAAAATCCATTAATTAAACC